CACTATTCTAGGAGGCCTTCTTTATGAGGCTGCAAGGAACTGGGGAAAGTTCATACGCAATGTCAGTTTCGTGAAAGGGTGGGTTTTAGGATATTTTAAAGTCTCTCACATTGCGGAGTGAATATTCGATGTAATAGTCAAATTTCGTCATTTTTATTGCATGCATGCTATTACCGCTTAATAAATAAACAAGTGAGACAAGTAAATCATACCAATCATACGTGATAATTATTAAATTTATTAAACTTTTATATGTTTATTTATAATTAATTGATAACATCACGTGGTATCACCATTAAACTAAAAGTTCTCGTGTGTGAGTTGATATTAGGTGAAGAACGTTGGAAGCGGCTATCAACCATCAATTATTGAGGACCAACAACTCTGCACGACAAATTACACATAAGATTTGAACTTCAAACCTCAATATGGTAATAACTGAAAGAGAACTAATTCTACTACTTTCCTCCCCCCCCCCTCTCTCTCTCCTGATAGATTATTGGAGAGAAAGAGAGAGAGGGGCCCAGGCTCTGGTTTGGTCAAAGNTCTCCTGATAGATTATTGGAGAGAAAGAGAGAGAGGGGCCCAGGCTCTTGTTTGGTCAAAGGGTTTTGAAGTTTTGTAGTCATCGTTTACGTTGTATTTGTTAGCCTCCTACACAAACCCTAAGAGCATGCTTGTTTTGAGTATAAAATTTATGTGATATAAGGTTATATATTCATTTTATTTTAATTTAATAGTATATTATATCCGGTGTTAAACTATAATTTCATCTTTCTCTTTGTTTATTTATCACAAATATTATTTGTGTAATACTTACTATTAAAAATCAACAATTACGACTAATCAATATAAAAGATAATTTTAACCTTTAAAAAGTCAAAAATTGTGGATAGACTTTTATATGAGAATTGTACCAGAAGACATTTCGATTTTTTTAGTTTATAATACTTATACTAAGAATATAATACCACCCCTAGGTAGTATTCATTAAGACTTTCTATAAGGCATTATAATTACTGTTTATAACGGATCAGTATTACGATTTTGAAAATAGTACTGACTATAAAATATCAAATAAACAACGTATAAGATAAGTCTCACGCACTATTTTTCTAATATTACCTCTTTATACCATTTTAATACTCAAAACAAACTACCCTAAATGCTTTTCTCTGCTTGTCATCTTAACGGTACCAACTACCAAGTACATTGTTCTGTTGTGTATGACAATAAACTTTTTGTGGCCCTATGAGACCTATTATTGGTGGTGCACTGCTGTACAACACCTTATCCCCCCTGGATTCTCTCGTCCCTGTATTTGATGTCTAATTTATTTTTTTACAAAATTATTGTTATATAAATACTTAAATTACCTCCTCTTTAATAGTTTTAATTTTTAAAATAGATAGCTTTTAACATAATATTAGAGCATGAGATCATATGTTTGAATTTCGTTAGCACCCTAATTATTAAAAAAAAAATTACGTGCTAGATTTAAAATTTAGTCTGCACGTGAATAAACGTGTTGAAATATAAATAGTTAAATTATACCTTATACAATAACTTAAGTTTTTAGATCAGTAGATGGTTGTTTTAATATGTATAAATAGTTAAAAATTTTGGACATGTTGAAGTATTTATTATGTATAAATATTAATATCTACGAAACTTTTTAATCGACTACATGACCTTTAAAACATATATGCATCACTATAATTTTGAATAAAAGCGTTCAATTTTTTTTTTTAAAAAAAAACTTTATCAATTTAATAATACTAATTTTAAATATAAAGATAACATTATCCTTACATATGTATATTTTTTTACCCAAAATTTCAACCATTTAATTTTTAAAATAAAAAATTATCTATTACGGAGTTTTTGAAAAATAATTTATATTAAATCAACATAATTCTTCAATTACAGTAAACATTTCATATTTTATTAAGAGTTTATATTAAAAAAATTATATTATATTTTTGAGTAAAACTTAAATTTTAGAATTTTAATATTCTCTTAAAATATATATTTTAAAGTAGTATATTATATTTTAAGGTGAATAGCATTTTTAGTCCCTAAAATATGCATGTCTTGTCAGTTTGGTCTTCATTATATCAATTTTATTAATTTAATTCTTAAAATATTTAATTAATGTTTAAATGATCCGTATATAGACAATCTGTTAAATTTTTTTTAGAAGTGATCACGTGATACTATTTGACAGAATAAAATATGGTTATTTTCGTCAAAAAAACGTAATGGAGCNGACAATCTGTTAAATTTTTTTTAGAAGTGATCACGTGATACTATTTGACAGAATAACATATGGTTATTTTCGTCAAAAAACGTAATGGACCATCTGGTTAGGGACTATTAAAACAAGAATTAAATATTTTAGGAACTAAATTGACAAAATTTATATACTGAAGACTAAACTGACAAAATGCGCAAATTTTAGAGAATCAAAGTGTTATTAATCCTATATTTTATCCTTATTAACCTATCTAATTATGGNTTGTCTCTACGTGTCATCTTAACAGTACCAACTACGTTTTTCTGTTATCTCTACTTCCTGTGGCCCTCTGAGGCCTATTATTGGTGGTGCACTGCTGTACTACTCCTTATCCCCCTTGGATTGGCTAGTCCTTGTATTTGATCTCTAATTTATTTTTTCACAAAATTATTGTTATATAAATACTTAAATTATCATCTCTTTAATAATTTTAATTTTTAGAGTAGATAATTGTTTAACATAGTATTATACTTTAACATGCCCTCTCACATACATACTAAATTTTGGACCTAACGCGTGAAAATCTTTTAATAATTAGGGTAACGGTGATATTCGAATACATGATCTACTGCTCTNTTTCAAATAAATTATTTGTATATTTTTTTTATACTTAAAACAATGAATCGTTGGGAACAATCAATATTTTCAAATTGTGTAATATAATACGAGTAATAAAATTATAATTTTAATAAATTAGAAATGATATTTAATATAGGTACACATATATCTAATCTTTTTATTAATATTTTGTATATAAAAATTATTCGCATATAACGCATTACTATTACATATGAAAAGACTATTTCAATGATCTATCATTGTTTCGCCCATGCTATAAAATACGACGTCAAAACTCTGTTATAAAATAAATAAATACCACACCTACCGTCACAAACAATCCCTTGTTACCGTTATTGAACCGAAAAGGATTCAATTTAAGAAGTTCTAAAATTAATTAACACACCCTCGTTGATTCTACCACTTTTATTTACCCTCCTGTTCACAAAATATATATATATATATATACTAGTCATTGCCTGTGTCTAAACTAATTGATGAGTTGATGCCTTGATGATGAGAGAAGAANATACTAGTCATTGCCTGTGTCTAAACTAATTGATGAGTTGATGCCTTGATGATGAGGGAAGAATTTTTTTGTAGTCACTCAAATTTCATATGTAACCATTAGATTTTTCATATTTTTGAATATATTTATGACATTTCTTTATGACCAGATTACAAAATTTTCTTTTTGTTTCATAAAAAAGGGAAAAAAAAAAAAAGAAGCATTTCATGTGTGCACATAACTCAAAAAAATAGATAAATCTTACAACTAATTTCTTGTAGCTGCAATGTTTAGAAACCTATCTTCTTCTCAATACATTAATACGATTAGGTCAAAAAACTTTCATTTAGTTTATCTAATTTGATTGTGTTATAATTTTTTTAAAAATATNTGTAGCTGCAATGTTTAGAAACCTATCTTCTTCTCAATACATTAATACGATTAGGTAAAAAAACTTTCATTTAGTTTATCTAATTTGATTGTGTTATAATTTTTTTAAAAATGTTTTGTATATAATTTTAAATTCACATGGTTTTAATGAACCCACATTTTTGTTTTATCAACTTTTTACGTAAAATATAATCCTTGACTTTGTACCTGACGTTTAAGATTATTTATGGTTTGCAAAGAAAAAGAATAGGAGAATGGGAAAAAAAGGTTGAAGTTGTGTAATTGGTAAATTGCTTTATGGGGTTTAGTAAATAATAGGGATCACGTTATGCATACATAGCTACTATTAATCTGAAACTATATTATAGTTTATTGTTTATGTTATCAGCATTGTTTTCATGGTGTTAGAGGACTATTTTTTTTCAAAGCCAAAACTCTTTGTATGCTTAATAAAGTACTAAATCTAGATAAATGAAACTTTAATGATCCTTTTGTCATCTATTATAACTCATGCCTCGTGATATACCTTTTATCGTTCCATGTTATTTTATCTTTCTATGTAGAAAAGATAACAATAACTTACAATTTCGTTTTATTTTTCTATGTAAAAAAGATAACAAGAACTTACAGTTTCTACAATAATAAATGCTGAAATTAAGTAAAACAGATTTCTTGTTGACTATTTAAGTTTTAGCACCAACAAGATTAGATTTGCTCCCCCCCAAAAAAAAAACTTTTCTAGGTTGGTCTATCTTGGATTTTCAAAACTAAAATAAAATTTTAATATTCTATATTTCATACGAACATGCCAACCAAACCACTCAATATTTATTAGTATTTCGTAAATAGTTATTCATTTTTCATTTTTTTCTTGAATGAATTTGTTTTAATTTTAATGACAAACAAATACCAAAATTTCCCAAAAACCACTATAGTACAATTTTTCTTATCATATTTCAATCTTGAACAATATTTGAACTTACAGAGTCTTGACACAAACAATAATTAAAAAAAAATTATATTCAAAATAATTCATGTGCAACACACGTGTGCAATAATTAGTAGGTAAACAAATCAGAAAAGGAGTCCCGTTAAAATTCATAATCACTCAGCCATATAATACATAATTATTATTTATTTTATTAATTAGATAATGACACCATAGTATAACGGTTGGATAGGGAATCGGGAGGCCGAACTTTGAGATGAATCAATGAAAGACTATATTAGATAATATGCAGGATGAAACTACCTTTTAGAGTTCAAAACCTATCTATATAATAAAACAGTTAGGTGTTTGAAATTTTATCTTATACATATTTCCTTCGCTCCCCCCTCCCAAAACCATTCAATCACTCATTTCTATCACATGTTTAATCATTTAATATATATATGTTTTTATTTCAGATATTATCCNGGCAGAAGCAAAGTTTGCACCAACAAGTAGTTTTTGTCCTGTAAGCTGGGGGCTCAAGTATGGCAATGCGGACTCAGCACCAAGCCGTTGGCCTAGTAATAACCACACACACATATATTCTGTAAAGTAATTTCTTAACTAAAAAGTACAAGACACTGTACGAAGAAGGCAAATGGAAAGCTTACTTATAAGGTCAGGGATGTTAAAGCCGTTTGAGAAGCGGCCGGTGGGGCGGCGGGTGGGGTAGTCGATGCCATAAGGCGGACGGTCGGCTCGTGCGGTGGTGGCCAAGTAGTTGTTGTTGCCATTGTCGACGAGTGAGTCACCGAACACAAAGAAAGCACGGGCCGCCTCGGCTTGTGGTGGTGGTGCTACTGTGCCCATGAACACTAGAGCAACAAGAAACATGGTAGAAATAGCTGAAGGACTAGACATGGTGACAATGTGGCCACTTCTATAGACTGTACTCTGTGTGTGTGGCAATTTTCATATGCTAAGGATACAAATGCTATGGTTTTATAAAGGATTTTTGTGAGTGGTGATCAACTTTATTGGTTGAAACCCTAATAAATGGCCTGTAATTTGAGTAAATACTGCATATTATCATGTGGTGTAACTGCCTAATAGTAACTTAACAATTAAACAAATAAATTCTATTCTTTTAATAATAATATTATATTAATTAAATTTTAAAACTAAATTTAAAATTCAAATGACATAATAACATATTATTTAAAATTTTTATTGGGACCTAAATCACTTACACTTCTATGTAAGAAACGTGAGTACCAACCACATATTTGAAAAGTGATCGAGATTAAATCTTTCACTTGTTTGTTTATAAGACGATTAGGCCGACTCACCATGCAAATCAAGCTTAAGAAAGAAAGTGAAGAAATGGTCAATTGAAAAAGTTTTAGTATTGCACCGACCCACCAATCAGCATTACTCGTTGAAAAAGTTTTCGTAGTAGGGCTTTTAAGTCTCCGCCAGGGCTCCCAGCTATTAAGTCGGAGTCGGTATCCGGACATGCATGTGACAGTCAAACCTTTTTGTTCTTGTTACCCTCATGAATTGTGGCGGTTTCCAACTTTCTTCTTTGGATTTGTACAAGGGTAATGGTATTGGAAAAAAAAAATTGATAATTTATTGATTTGCTATAATACAAAAAATTGAACAGTTCAACATTATTTTTTTCAATCCCTCTTTTCTAATGCATATGGCAAACTCCTATTTTTTTTTTAAATTATATAATTTAAAATTAAAATAAACTAAGAAAAAATTAAAGAGATGTAAGAGAAAGAGAAGTTTAAAAAATTACAGCTAAAATAATGTTATTAGCCAATGTAAATGTGACACGCCACTATTTTAATAAATTAGGTTAAATTTTAATAGCATTACTCAATATTTGAAGATCTTCATTTTTGTGAAATAAGAAATAAAAATACTATCATTTTTGTGATTCAACTACTTTTGCTGACTTTTAATGCTTTAAATCCATAAAAATCAAAACGTTCAAGCCATAAAGAAAATCCTTATCATAAATCTTTAGTATAAGCCATACACACCACTAACTTTGAACAATTCAAAGAACGTTATACTTTAAAGTCTTCAACCCCGTACCATAGGAACTTTGTGATAATAAATGTAGCTGGTTAATAAAAATTTATGAGTAATGAAAACAGCAAAANCAACCCCGTACCATAGGAACTTTGTGATAATAAATGTAGCTGGTTAATAAAAATTTCTGAGTAATGAAAAAAGCAAGAGTAATGTTGCACATATCTAAATTAGTCTCCTCTTACGTACTCTACGTTGACAAAGTTTCGTGCTCTTTATAATTTTCCTTTTTCTACCACGATGGTGCGTAGGTACGGTGGTGCATTTTATAAAAAGTTGCTGAACTATTTATTGCATATGGTTCAATTTTACAGCTAATGAGTCGGACACTCAACCAGCACTCTATGTAGTTATTGCAGTAATGTTCATTGTCACAAAAAGTGTTTTTCAGACAAAAAATTTTGGTAGCACTGTGCTGCAACGCAAGGTTTATTTGTTAGTGCAAATATTTTTTGAGACGGTCGTTATCGTCACAAATACTTTTTGAGATTACACTTATTATGACGAGACATGCCGTCACAATACTTTGTCGTAATAAGTGAAGTCTCAAAAATCTTTGTGGTGGCAATAACCCGTCTCAAATAGTATTTACAGTANTAATGGGCCTACCTATGAGTAGAAGAAAATGAACAGAAACACTAGTTACGTTTTGTAACGNATTGTATAACATTCAAATTAGATCAATTAATGGGCCTACCTATGAGTAGAAGAAAATGAACAGAAACACTAGTTACGTTTTGTTTTTAGTTTTCAAAAAGATTGAAAACATAATTAGTTTTTATTTTTTTATGTAATAAAAATTTGAACATAAAATTTATTTGATTATAGTTATTGTTTTAAAACTTTGAAAGCTAAAACAGAAAATATATTATATATTGTTACCTTCAAAACCTTGCGGTACTCGGAGATGAGGTAACGGCAATAAGCTGGGATAGTGAATTGAAGCCTTCTTGCGGTGACTGGTGCCAAGAAGTAGTTGTTAACAAAGTCGTTGCCACCAAGCGTTATGAGGATGAGAGCTTTGTTGACAAGCTGCTTTGCCTTGTCTTTCCCAATAACCGCACTCAGTCGTTTTTGATATTGTTCGAATAGCTGAAGTTGCTGCGCGATTCTTATAATGTTTGCCTAGCAATAATAATAATAATAATAAAATAGATATATTAAATCACTGGTCTTTTTTTTTTTTTTGGCTACCAATCATTGTTAAGTCTGAACCATGAAAAGAAGTAATAATAATATGATAATCAAGTTCAACGTCAAGTCACGAGCTAAGCATCACGATCCAGTAAAATATTGGCTAATAATTGTNTGAAAAGAAGTAATAATAATATGATAATCAAGTTCAACGTCAAGTCACGAGCTAAGTATCACGATCCAGTAGAATATTGGCTAATAATTTTNTGAACCATGAAAAGAAGTAATAATAATATGATAATCAAGTTCAACGTCAAGTCACGAGCTAAGCATCACGATCCAGTAAAATATTGGCTAATAATTGTTAGAATGACAGCGAATATATAACTCCAATGGCCATATGTTATTTACACCTAAAACGAGAAGATAAATCTTGATGTATGTAATCATTCATAAACTACGACATAGGTTAAACTCGTGTTTATACGTCTAATAGAACTATTACTGTTGGACTAATACTGCCAACATCATTTAATCCTTATAATTAATTTTTTTTTCTTTGTCACCGGAGGAAATAGCTGCTCATAATTTTATTACAGCAGGTAGTTTAACTGCTTATCGGAAGATGTCAAAAGGGGTTCTTTGGAGGACAAAGGACAGATATATATACTGTGGACTTTTCTTTTTTTTTTTTGGAAAACACTTTCCCTATAATTGAAGTCGACTTAACTGAAGATGACTTAACATTGTATTTCATTTTTGCAGAGAGAGAGAGAGTTGAAAGTATACAAGAAAAGTAGACTGCAAGAATAAGGAGAGAAAGGGTTGAAAGTACAATAGAAAAGTAGACTGCAAGAGAGAAAGAGAGAGAGAGAGTTGAAAGTACACTAGAAAAGTAGACTGCAATGTACAGGGACTTACAAACTGAAAACCGGTGTCGTTGAGGATTCCGATCCCGGCAGAAGCAAAGTTTGCACCGACAAGTAGTTTTTGTCCTGTAAGCTGGGGGCTCAAGTATGGCAATGCGGACTCAGCACCAAGCCGTTGGCCTAGTAATAACCACACACACATATATTCTGTAAAGTAATTTCTTAACTAAAAAGTACAAGACACTGTACGAAGAAGGCAAATGGAAAGCTTACTTATAAGGTCAGGGATGTTAAAGCCGTTTGAGAAGCGGCCGGTGGGGCGGCGGGTGGGGTAGTCGATGCCATAAGGCGGACGGTCGGCTCGTGCGGTGGTGGCCAAGTAGTTGTTGTTGCCATTGTCGACGAGTGAGTCACCGAACACAAAGAAAGCACGGGCCGCCTCGGCTTGTGGTGGTGGTGCTACTGTGCCCATGAACACTAGAGCAACAAGAAACATGGTAGAAATAGCTGAAGGACTAGACATGGTGACAATGTGGCCACTTCTATAGACTGTACTCTGTGTGTGTGGCAATTTTCATATGCTAAGGATACAAATGCTATGGTTTTATAAAGGATTTTTGTGAGTGGTGATCAACTTTATTGGTTGAAACCCTAATAAATGGCCTGTAATTTGAGTAAATACTGCATATTATCATGTGGTGTAACTGCCTAATAGTAACTTAACAATTAAACAAATAAATTCTATTCTTTTAATAATAATATTATATTAATTAAATTTTAAAACTAAATTTAAAATTCAAATGACATAATAACATATTATTTAAAATTTTTATTGGGACCTAAATCACTTACACTTCTATGTAAGAAACGTGAGTACCAACCACATATTTGAAAAGTGATCGAGATTAAATCTTTCACTTGTTTGTTTATAAGACGATTAGGCCGACTCACCATGCAAATCAAGCTTAAGAAAGAAAGTGAAGAAATGGTCAATTGAAAAAGTTTTAGTATTGCACCGACCCACCAATCAGCATTACTCGTTGAAAAAGTTTTCGTAGTAGGGCTTTTAAGTCTCCGCCAGGGCTCCCAGCTATTAAGTCGGAGTCGGTATCCGGACATGCATGTGACAGTCAAACCTTTTTGTTCTTGTTACCCTCATGAATTGTGGCGGTTTCCAACTTTCTTCTTTGGATTTGTACAAGGGTAATGGTATTGGAAAAAAAAAATTGATAATTTATTGATTTGCTATAATACAAAAAATTGAACAGTTCAACATTATTTTTTTCAATCCCTCTTTTCTAATGCATATGGCAAACTCCTATTTTTTTTTTAAATTATATAATTTAAAATTAAAATAAACTAAGAAAAAATTAAAGAGATGTAAGAGAAAGAGAAGTTTAAAAAATTACAGCTAAAATAATGTTATTAGCCAATGTAAATGTGACACGCCACTATTTTAATAAATTAGGTTAAATTTTAATAGCATTACTCAATATTTGAAGATCTTCATTTTTGTGAAATAAAAAATAAAAATACTATCATTTTTGTGATTCAACTACTTTTGCTGACTTTTAATGCTTTAAATCCATAAAAATCAAAACGTTCAAGCCATAAAGAAAATCCTTATCATAAATCTTTAGTATAAGCCATACACACCACTAACTTTGAACAATTCAAAGAACGTTATACTTTAAAGTCTTCAACCCCGTACCATAGGAACTTTGTGATAATAAATGTAGCTGGTTAATAAAAATTTCTGAGTAATGAAAAAAGCAAGAGTAATGTTGCACATATCTAAATTAGTCTCCTCTTACGTACTCTACGTTGACAAAGTTTCGTGCTCTTTATAATTTTCCTTTTTCTACCACGATGGTGCGTAGGTACGGTGGTGCATTTTATAAAAAGTTGCTGAACTATTTATTGCATATGGTTCAATTTTACAGCTAATGAGTCGGACACTCAACCAGCACTCTATGTAGTTATTGCAGTAATGTTCATTGTCACAAAAAGTGTTTTTCAGACAAAAAATTTTGGTAGCACTGTGCTGCAACGCAAGGTTTATTTGTTAGTGCAAATATTTTTTGAGACGGTCGTTATCGTCACAAATACTTTTTGAGATTACACTTATTATGACGAGACATGCCGTCACAATACTTTGTCGTAATAAGTGAAGTCTCAAAAATCTTTGTGGTGGCAATAACCCGTCTCAAATAGTATTTACAGTAGAAAATAAACCTTTTACGATAATACTATCACCACACAAAAAAAAAACTCTTCAAAATACATTTTTCTGTGATGGTGAACATTATCGCTACAAAAAACTTATATCAAAAGAACTTAATTCTTGCAGTTCCATTTTGCCGTTCAGGGCATGATTTGAGATTATGTATGGATAGAAGTCTAAGTAAATAGGCCAATGGTTAGTGATAGGAGGCCACAAACCATCCATTTCTATATACGTTTGCCATTATTCTAGGAGGCTAAAAGGAACTGGGGAAAGTTCATATGCAATGTGAGTTTCGTGAAAGGGTGGGTTTTAGGATATTTTAAAATCTCTCACATTGTGGAGTGAATATTTAATGTAACAATCAAATTTCTTCATTTTTATTGCATGTTATTACCGCCCAATAAATAAACAAGTAAATCATATCAATCCTACATGATAATTATTAGATTCATTAAAATTTTATATGTTTATTTATAATTAGTTGCTAACATCACATGGTGTCACCGTTTCACTAAAGTTTCTCGTGTGAGTGAGTGGATACTTAGTGAAGAACGTTAGAAACGACTATCAACCATCAATTATTGAGGACCAACAACTCTACATGACAAATCACACATAAGATTTAAACTTCAAACCTCAATATGGTAATAACAGAGAACTAATTCTAGAACTTTTCTCCCCCTCTCTCCCTCTCTCCTGATAGATTATTGGAGAGAGAGAGAAGGGGGGGGGGGGTCCAGGCTCTTGCTTGGTCAGAGGGTTTTGAAGTTTTGTAGTCATCCTTTACGTTGTATTTGGTAGCCTACTACACACAAACACTAAATGCTTGTCTCTACGTGTCATCTTAACAGTACCAACTACGTTTTTCTGTTATCTCTACTTCCTGTGGCCCTCTGAGGCCTATTATTGGTGGTGCACTGCTGTACTACTCCTTATCCCCCTTGGATTGGCTAGTCCTTGTATTTGATCTCTAATTTATTTTTTCACAAAATTATTGTTATATAAATACTTAAATTATCATCTCTTTAATAATTTTAATTTTTAGAGTAGATAATTGTTTAACATAGTATTATACTTCAACATGCCCTCTCACATACATACTAAATTTTGGACCTAACACGTGAAAATCTTTTAATAATTAGGGTAACGGTGATATTCGAATACATGATCTACTGCTCTGATGCTATGTAAAACAACCATCTATTCTAAAAGTTTAAACTAAAAACTTAAACTGATGGATATGATGCAATTTAAATATTTATACTTCAATAACATTCGCCTAAAAAACACTAAGAAACACAAATCACCATTATTTTGACATTCGTAGGGATTGAATTAAAGATACTATGATATCTGAATCTATATTTATAATATAAAATAGAGCAGACTTCAATAAATTCATACACCATGCCTTCAGGCGCGAATTATTTTTAATTAGTAACAATGTAGAGATATATTGTATTAAATATTATACATGAACATGATTGGCTGGCTCTTAAACTGTTGCTTTCTTGATGGAAATTTCAATATGAGAATGTAAGCAAGTGGAATAAATATTAAATTCAGGGGTAGTACCCTTGTACATCCTGCATGAGTAATTCAAGCACTAGATGGTTAATTTCATTCATTAGGGTTCAAATGCGGTGGATGGTATTGGGTCGATATTTAATTTGGCTTGTGAAACAAAAAGGTAAGCAATCACATCAAATAATTATATAAAACCAGCATAGACTTGCATATTTTAACTTGATTTCCCATTCCAATGTGACCACCCACTCTAATTAATGTGTATAATTGTAGATGGCCAAAAAAATGATCATTTTGAAAGTGATACATTACGACACAAACTATAAAATGATACTATTTATTTTTGGATTAGTCATATTAATGCCATATATGATTACTATGATTTTAATTAATTTGCACTGTAAAAACATTCTAATTTTTTTGGGTTAAATAACTATATTCTCTAAAAGTTTTAGTTGTTAAAGATGATGTAACTTAATGTCGAAATTTAGATAAGAACAAATGAACAAGGGACAAGACACAAAGAATTAGCATAATTCGGTCTAAGACCTATGTCCAAGACACACAAAACCCACAAAGGACTACATCTTTATTATTCTTGATGATCAATACACAAGAGATACACCCATATATATATATATAGGGTGATAAACACAATCATATCCCTTAATCTCAGGGGTTGACATAAATTAGAAATCAAATTGCGCCACTAAATTCCATAAATATTATTAGGATATTTTGGGTCGAGCACATGAATTTTTTTTTTAATAATTAGAGTGATAGCGAGATTCGAATATAAGACCTCATGCTCTGAAACCATGTTAAACAACCATCTATGCCAAAAACATAAGTTATTAAAGAGGATGTAATTTAAATATTTATATTTCAACATTTTTTTTTAATTTCTTGATTTGTTACGATATGCATTGATTTATTATGTTTGCTCCAATGGTCAATTCCTACCAAAAGACAAACCTTGATTTATTATGTTTTCTTCTTTTGGGAGTTTTATTATGCCATTTTTTTTGCTTCTCGTCACCTATCTGTAGGTGCTTTGTCCTATGAGTAGTATTACATAATCTAAATAAAATTTAAAAAATTATAATTTAAATACATATCATCTATTGGATGAATGAGTTTTATAAATTTTTCAGTGAAACCTACTCATCTAACAGATAATATACATTTGTATTATAATTTTTAGATTCAATTTAAATTGTGGAGCATTTTCCTATACCAATTGCATGTATAAAAGAAGCCAATTGAATGTAGTTGTTGATGATTTATTGCCTAATAAATTTGGATAAGAGAAAAGAGCCACAATTTTAAATTTTTAGTTATTATTTTACAAAAAACGACAAATCAACTCAAGTGAATTCTAACGCGACTCAATTGACACCGTTACATCTCAACAAAAAGAGTTCTCACTCTCTCCGCCAACGATTTTGCTAAACAGCTTCTTGTGTGATTTTCACTGTAGGGGCCCCACAGGTGGTTGGTATTAGTAATTCATTTCAGTAGACCTTATTTTTCGGCCATTAAATTCTTCTAGAGACAAGTACGTGGGAAATTCAAATTCAATTCGTACGATAGGACTTGTGCTCTTCCGACACAAATTGACTTACCAATATACTTCTTTTAGTGAAGGACAAAGTTGGCATATACTTATAATCCATTTTTTTTTTTGGGTACTTCATATATGTTTTTTTCTTTCCTTCTATTTCACTTTTGCTTGGTGGACTGTGGAACAATCCAACAAGCCAATTATT